AGTTGGCCCTGCTTTGCTGACAGAGGGTGGGAGCTCTTGGGGGGGGGAGTCTTGGCATGTTTGAAGGGCAGCCGGTGGGAGGCTCCGGTTTTAAGGTAAGTCACTACAGCCCCGAATCTCGAGGGCTTGGATCTGATTCAGTGTAGAACTGAAGCTGGTTGGTTTCTCACGTGGCGAGGTTTTTTCTCCTAAGAAATGCTTTGAAAAGTAAAGCGGAGGAAAGTTTAAAAAGAGCTATCAGCAGGCTTGGCAAAGGCATGTTGAATTTCTTACATTAAAAGCTAGTGTTTTCTTAAAGAAGAATTGCAAATGTCTTTTCTTTCTTTTTTAAATCTGTTGTGATTGGTAGAAATTAAATAGAAAGCAGATCCTTGGAATAGTTTTAAATCTGTATAATGATAATGGTGATGAGCAGTTGGGTGGATTCTGATGTATGCCAAGCTTTTTTTAGGTGTATAGTACTGAATTGTTTTTTTACAATTCTTTTGGTGCCCCTCTGGGACCACGTGGCTTGGTCCCCAGAGGCCACACTGCCTGGCTGTTCTTCTGTGGGGCAAAGTAGGGGATCAAACTCTTGATCCCTGGGAGGAATGCGCTTGCTAAGAATTTATTTGGATTTTGGTACCTGCCCATGAATGGGTCTTGCATTTAGGGCAGTGTTTCCCTTATAAGCCTTTATAGCAGCAGTCCCCAGCCTTGGGTCCCCAGATGTTCAGCTACTCCCAGAAATCCTGGGCAGCAATAGACATTAAGAGTTAGGTAACCCCCAGGATTGGAACTTTTTAAGCTGAACCTGTAAAGCATCATGAGGTAGTTGCTTGCCTAAGGCTAAACAGCCTAACTCTTCCACAAGGCATAGTACGGGATCAGACTCCTGGCTCCTCAGGGAATTGTCATTAATTTCTTTGGTTCATGCTATTAAAGGGCAGTGTTCTCTTTATGGAGAATTTGGAGCTAATTACAGTGGTGCCCCGCATAGCGACGTTAATCCGTTCCAGAAAAATAGTTTCTATGCGGATTTGTCGTTATGCGAAAAGAAAAAGCCCATAGGAATGCATTAAAACCCGTTTAATGCGTTCCTGTGGACAAAAAACTCACATTTAAGCAGAAATCCTCCATGCGGCCGCCATTTTCGCTGCCCTGTAAGTGAGGAAAGGGTGCGAAAACACAGCGGGCAGCCATTTTTTACCCGGCACCCATTTTGGGACCGCCGATCAGCTGTTGGGAAAACATGCGAAAGTTGGTAAGCGACGGATCATCGCAAAGCGATACTCGCTTTTGCGATCGCAAAAACTTAATCGCTATGCGGATTCGCCATTAAACGGGGCGCCCGTTAAGTGAGGCACCACTGTAATAATAGAAAGGAGTGATCTGTTCTGATACCTTCCCTGTTATCTTACTGGTTGGCAGTTGCCATGTGCTTTTTACCTCCATTTCGAACATGAGTCTAGTATTTGTCAGGTTTCAGGAATCTACTACTGTATCTGCCGAGAACAATACATTAATGTACATTGTGGACTTCGGTTACCTTTAGTTTTATATGCAGACATTTAGTGAATGCTTTCCTGGCAACAAAATACATTAGTACTCTTATGACCACAGTCAATAGGGGCCACTATTCTCAATTCCTCTGTGGCTGGAAAGGTTCTTGAAATGTTGTGCATTAATGCGGATTTAATTGTAGTCTAAAATATTCAAAGGGCATCAGGAGTAGGAAGAATTAGTTTAACTAGACAGGATATTATAGAATCAGTATTGTTATTTAGCATAGATCTATCCATGAGTTCGACACGACTTAACAACAAAAATAGATCTATCCATTATTGAAGCTCTGCTTATGGCAGTGTTGGCTTTTTGGGGGTCTATGCTGTATAGATCCCTTCCACACTGATCCCTTCCAAAGATCTTTAGAACTTTGGATTGCAGCTGAACAGATAAGCCATGGGAGTGTGTGTGTTTTTTAAACTAATTAATCTTCATTCTGTGAATAGTTGATGAATGTCACAATGCCAGCTGGGTTCCTGCATTCCTAAAGTTTTGAAAGTGTCTGATGCATGGTTGGATTGATTGTTATTGACACGAGTGAATAA